AGGGACTGAGTCCAGCAATAAATAGCAAAAATATCGGAATAATTGACACCCTACCTCTAGGTGTATAATCATCTAAAAATTCCACAAGATGCAAGTTTTTCCATCAAAAACGGGGGATAGGTTTCATAAAACAGACCGTGAATGTGGGAATTTGCCAATGACGAACTGTAAATATGATGTACAGACAATGTTTTCAGCAATAATTTATTATTGCATGCAAAAATAAGTAAATCACTGTGAATATCAAATGTAAAATGACGTGAAATAGCCTCCTCTTCAAACACTTATTTAGTAACGGGTTTGAGGTACAGTATATGCTGAGGTCTGACATCATGACAGTGGTTTGACTTTTCCAGTGATTAATTGTATGTTTCTCTCAAAAAGTTCCACGGCACTAGCTGAGAAATAAGCACAGTACGTCCTTGTCGTCACTATCCCTACAGAACCTACAGAAGTGCATCAGTCTGTGCGGGTTCAGTTCTGCTCAGGCCAAATAGACTCGGGCCAAAAAACACATCATGATGGAAGTCCTCAACTGTGGTTTGTTCAAGTCCTTTGAGACCAAATAAGTCTTAATTGCACAGCTTAGAGCTCGAGCATAGATCCTGGAGTGACCAGTAAGAGGCGGTTACAGTTCACACAAATAAAAAGAACATGGTAAGAATGTAAGTTGCACTGAATATACATTTCACAATGACAATGTAATAGTTTGTCCCTTACTTCATCTTACGAGAGCAGTGCTCTTCCAAACAAGGTCACGTTCAAGCTGGAGACTGGGATGAGCTCAAGTTGTATCAACAAAGTGCAGAGTCAGGGAGGCCAAATGTAAAACGCCCAATGCTTATTTCATACAAATGTAGCCGGCTTTAGAAAGCCACATTCATGCCAGACTGTTGCCATTAAGAGGGCAATGCACAAAGAATCAAACAGTCCCTGAGGGATTGGACGGACAGGAAGTGGTGCAGAAAGCCCTAGTAGGTTCTGTCAAGGAGTCTGTGAGGACATTTCTGGCAAGGGAGGAGGCAGATCTGCTCTACATGCAGGAACATCATTTTAACAACAAATACGTTCCATTCCTTTTCCAACTGAAAATTGTCGATAATCCCATAGATATGTACCAAGAGAATGTGAAACTATGCATCACAATACTACTGTAAGAGCAGTAGAGCAAGGAAATAAATCAACTATTTAATTATTGAATATAATGTTGCAGATCTGCTCTACATGCAGGAACATCATTTTAACAACAAATACGTTCCATTCCTTTTCCAACTGAAAATTGTCGATAATCCCATAGATATGTACCAAGAGAATGTGAAACTATGCATCACAATACTACTGTAAGAGCAGTAGAGCAAGGAAATAAATCAACTATTTAATTATTGAATATAATGTTAAATGAAAACCACTACAGCAGAAGGAGTCAAGTATAGGTGCAAAGGAACTCTGTTGAAGTGAAGGAATGAGCTCTATTTAGTCACATCATAGCCTTGTCTATTAAGAAAAAAAAAATGCAGGACAATCAGTGTAGAAAATGGGGACATGTTATGTTTGAGTGAATTAAATTTTTAGAAATCGAGGGAGCATGTTTTTAGTATCAATCCCTTCCATAAAAACAACAGGATGGGACATTAGCGAGTAAACCGAGTGGCGATGGTGAGATTTATTACTGCAGATATTGACGCTATTAAGACACGCGCATCTTGCAATATTATCAACAATATTGTCAGCGCTAAATACAACTTTACACAGCTGTATGGGAGACGAAAAAAATGCCGGTACTGCCCCACTTTCCCAACAAGAAAAAAACTCAACTTCCCAACTTTTCATGAAAATATTCCCCTCGGGAGATAGTGATGAATTTTTGACTCACCCGTTTGTCATTTCAGTAACAGCGAGCATCTTTTGGCTTTTTCCCGGATCGGAGTTGTTATTTCTGCGTTCGGGCTGACAGATGTTGAAAGTCTCGAATGGAACGCGAGTAGCGAGCGATGGTCTCTGCTCAACCACAGAGAGAAGAGGCCTTCTCTTAGTGGGTTTACGCCTTCAAGCTAGCCCCAACGGGACCCAGTACTTCCGTTTTTGTAAATTTCAAACTAAAACAATTATACGTTTACAAAAAAATCAAAACATATTTGCACAACAAAATTAAATTAATCAGCTAATGAAATCCTATTATGCGATATTCAAACCCATGTATTCGTGTTTTCGAAAAGTGTGACTATCACATGTCACAAGCAGAAGGAATTTTATTTTACAAAAGGGAACCCTTAATGAGGCTTAAACTGACTTTATACAATATTATTTTACAATCGGTAAATCTACACCGCTGTATTACATTTTTTTATCTGCCAAAATCGACCCATCCTTCATTCTTTTTTTCGATATTATGTCCTCTGAAATCAGCACAATATTTAGGAGCTAAAGTGTTCAATGTAACTGACTAACGTTAAAGCCGGGCAGTTTTTCCCTATAAAGAAAATGTCATGTACACT